AATTACTGAAAATGTGCTGAAGCCAGGCTTTGAAACATAAAGCTAGACTTTAAAAGCTTAAATTTTGTTTATCTCATTAATTTATCTCATAAAATCTTCCTTCATATATGTCCCCAAAATACACCTTTGTCTAATCTCAGTTTAGCCTAACTCAAGTTGAAGCATTGACTGCATGGATTCCATTTAGATATCACCAATTTAGGCTTTGTTCATGTGTGTCCTTAAATCCCTGGGATGGGGGAGAAGTTAAAGTAAATTGCAACTTATGAAAAAGAACTCAGGACATTTTAAACTGCAAAACTATAAAAAATAAATTTGTTGACAGAAGGAACAAAGAAGGTTCTGAACTTAGCAACCAATGAAAAATTACCATTCGTATGATTTACGACAGAAATTTTCTCCTCTTGTCCAGCTCTTCCGGGGAAAAAGCTCTCACCAACCCCTCTCCTGGGCCTTCAGCCCTTCTCCCACCAGAACCGGAAGGACACCCAACTCCCTGGAGGAGAAATCAATGGGCTGCTAATTTGAACTTGAGATTGTGAGGAGGAAGCAACAGAACTCCAGGGAGGATGAAAAGAGGAGTGGGAGAGGCAAAGGGCTAAGAATGCCTAGTAGACAATGGAAGGGAGGGAGACTCAAGGAGAGAAGCTTTCAGATGTCCATCCGGGTGGACTCAGTGTGTAGGAGGCGACTGAAGATGCGTAATGGAGAACCACCTTGCAGCACCCTCTGCACTTGTGATCTTGATTGTCTAAACCTAAGAATTTTCTCTCTACTAAGGAGCAGTGTTTAACCTTTTCAGGGCATAGTTAAGGGATTACAGCTGGATGCTTTAAGGCTCTGATCTTTTGGTGCAAAATGAGGCAAATCCATGCAAATGAAGACCTGGCAGTTTTTCTTGGACTCTTCTGATTTCAGCTTCTTAATGTGCACATTCTCAGCATTCTCAGGAAAGTCTCATGGGACTTTCCAATCACAGAGTCAAATTCTCACTGTTTTATTATGATGCCTTTGAGAATCAACAAAAATAAAACTTTACCCTCTCTTAAAAAATGCTTAGGATACATTTTTCAACTCTAGAAAGATGTTTAATTTAGGGCCAACGCCAAAAGCACGCAACTCCAAAACTAAGATGAACCTGAGGTTATGAAATCTTTGCCCTTTTAAAAGGAACCGTAAGGATAGATATGTAGATGAATATATATGTGTGGTGCGCGGGGCGGGGAAGAGAACCTTAGTTTTTCAGTTCTGTTTTCTGACAATACGTCATTACCAGTATTTGGTGGAATAACTGGCACATGGTGTCGTTCAAAACCATTTGTGAAATAAGTTAATCTCTTCAAAGAATCTCAAGTTTACAAACTGTTCCGCCTGCAGAACCATCTCTTTTCTGTAAATTGCCAGAATTTATGGGGTAGAAGACGGAAGATGAGTCGGTGAAAAGGTCAAAGAAGCCAGAGAGTAAAGGCTAAGAAATTAAGGGGAGTCAAGGAGTGAAGGACTAACCAGTGTCCATTGGATCTGGGAATTTCTAGGCCTTAGGGCACAGCAGCGTGGGTACAACAGCATGATGATTAAGAGACAGGATTCTGGAGTCAGACTTCCTGAGTTCAAGTCTCAGCTCCACTCTTTACGCTGTATGAAGTAATTGAGTGGCTTTCTCTTCACCTCAGTTTTCCATCTGTGAAATGAGGATACAGTTGTAACAGAACTGATACAAGGACTCTATAAGCTAACTTTCAGCCCAGGAGGAATTCTTGTTTCTTTTCTTTCTTTTAAATAAATTTATTTATTTTATTTATTTAATAAATAAAATTTATTTATTAATTTTGGTTGGGTTGGGTCTCTGTTGCTGCACGCGGGCTTTCTCTAGTTGTGGCAAGTGGGGGGCTACTCTTCATTGTAGTGCACGGGCTTCTCATTGGGGTGGCTTCTCTTGTTGCGGAGCATGGGCTCTAGGCGCACGGGCTTCAGTAGTTGTGGCACATGGGCTCAGTAGTTGTGGGCTGTAGAGTGCAGTCTCAGTAGTTGTGGCGCACGGGCTTAGTTGCTCTGCAGCATGTGGGATCTTCCCGGACCAGGGATTGAACTCGTGTCCCCTGCATTGGCAGGCGGATTCTTTTTTTTTTTTTTTTTTTTTTTTTGCAGTACACGGGCTTCTCACAGTAGTGGCCTCTCTGGTTGCAGAGCACAGGCTCCGGACGCGCAGGCTCAGCAGCCATGGCTCACGGGCCTAGCCGCTCCGCGGCATGTGGGGCCTTCCCGGACCGGGGCACGAACCCGTGTCCCCTGCATTGGCAGGCGGACTCTCAACCACTGCGCCACCAGGGAAGCCCGGCAGGCGGATTTTTAACCACTGCGCCACCAGGGAAGTCCCAGAATGCTTGTTTCAAATGCTATTTTCTGAGGAATTGAGGGCTTTTGGTGAAAATTAATGCAGTCTAGTCATGGTTTAGATAGTCCAATCAGTGTTACTAGCTAGAGTTGTGATCCTAAGTGACTTCTTTTAATTTTTTTGCCTTTTTCCTCATTTGTTAAATAAAATAATAAAATCTGTTTCTTGAAGCTTATGAGATATATACTGAAAGATTTTTACAAGATAAAAAGAAAGTACAACAAAAATATGTGAAAGTATTATTATTTTTAAATTCAAACACTTTCATCATTCTTTGCATGTGTATTCCCATGAATTCCAGGGAACTACAACATCTGATGTTTGAAGTTTCTGGCAAGGGTTTACCTTCTTGAGTATCTCCACAAGGAGAGGAAGTAAATCACTTCAATTTTTTAAAAGGAGAACTTCATACTAAAGGCAAAAAGCCTTCTGGCTTCCAATCAGCTGTTTCTCTCTTTGGTCAGCCTCCTCCTTCCATCTCCATTCTCGACTAAGTGGTCAGATGAGAAGGGTGATGAGGTGAGGAAAGTGCCTAACGAGGGTTCCCCAAACTATAACCCTGGGTATCTCAGGTATCTATCTATTAAATCCTGAAGTCTGAGGATGACAAATCCCACTGTAAGGGGACAGAACTTATCTCAGCTGTCAAGGTGCTTGAGTTAATTTCAAAAATAGATTTAGTATGTATAAAATTTTGTTTTAACCATGGCACAGTATCAAGGGATGTTTAAATCTGGAGACTTTTTTTGTTACTCCATGTCCTCAATAAGGTGAGCACTACCTTCATATAATAGAATGGTGTACGTTCTGTCAGCTTCTTAGAGCATGTTTCTGCATTTTCCCAGTGTTATGGAGAATATTCATTGATTACTTTAATCAGTTTTTAAAAATTCACAATTTCCCCTTCTTCTTTGTTAAGACCAATTAGGTAACACACACACACACACACACATACATGGGCACACACACAATGGGATTTTTAAATTCCTTATACTTGTTTTGGAACAGCATTTACCACTCGTATTATTTTTAAAGTTTTGCATCACCATTCAGATAAGTTTTAAGGTAAGCAGAAGGCTAATTTTAAAATATGTTTCATATGGGTCTGTTTTGCATAGTAGGATCATCTGAATAAATCTTCCTTTGAGACATTCCTTCCATTTATCTCTTTGTTTCTACAACAGCCAGCTTGTTCTTCACCTACAGGAGGGCTAACTTGACTTTTCCAGGGACTTTCAATTATTTCTAGATGTTGGGCAAAATACAAGACTGAGATCACCATGATTTTCAAAAGTTCCTCATCTCTTACATTTGTCCTTTATCTTTCAAATGCTATGTTCATCATTATGTTTGATAGAGTGACGTAAGTTGGAAGTTATCCTATATTCACTTTTATGTTCAGATTTCACAGTTTGCTAAATATAAACCTATTTTTCCTCCTTTCATTGCCAATGTCCCCAACATCAATGGCTCAGTTCTTGATGTTTTGTGTTACTTCCTGAGACTTACTGAATTCTCAGATATGAAGACACTTTTCTGAACATATTCTCAGTGTGGGTTTCTCAGTGGTGGAGTAGAGAATCCTCATCTGTGCTGCCTTCAGCAGCTGTGTAAATACAGCTGGAAACTTGCAAGTGGACAGCGTTGATTGTAAATTGGTTTCCTTATGTGTTTTGGAATGCTGTTCTGAGAACCATGAACCCTGAATTTCAGATGAGTTTCCATCGCTACAACTTTCATATACATATTTAATATTACTTTCTGGGTTTGGACAAAGCCTTGCCCTTAGTGGACATGTTAGTTCTTTAGGCTTAGGCTCCTTCTTGGACTTTTTATTTTACAATATCCTAAAACTCATGACAAACAGAAACATTACAGATCCTTTAGTCTTCTGGATGTTTGGGGTAAGGCAGGTGTATTAGCCTACTGGGGTTCCCATAACAAAATACCACAGACTGGGTGGCTTAAACAACAGAAATTTATTTTCTCACAAATCTGGAGATTGGGGTGTCAGCAGAGTTGGTTTCTTTCAAGCTTATCTCCTTGGCTGGTAGATATCCATCTTCTCCCATCATCTTCACAGGGTCTTTCCTTTGTGTGTGCCTGTGTCTTAATCTCCTTCTTATAAGGACACCAGTCACATTGGATTAGGGCCTACCCTCATGAGTCATCTTCCCTTAATCATCACTTTAAAGACCCTATCTCCAAATATAGTCACATTCTGAAATACTGGGGGTCAGGACTTGAATATATGAATTTTGGAGGGGACACAATTCAGCCTATCATAGGAAGGAAGCAGGAGGAAAAGGGAGGTAGTGATAAGAAAATTACTCAAAGCTTGCTGTTGGAGTATTGAGTGTATGAGTTCTACACTCAACAGGTACAGAACTGAACTTATCATCACCTCCTTCTCCTCCCAAATCCAGTCTTCTTGTGTTTTCTGTTTCAGGAGGGACCATCGTCATCTAAGCAGTCACAGAGCCAGAAACCTGGAATCCTCTTGGGCTCTCTTCTCCAGCTAATCCCTATTACTCTATTAAACCCCTAATGAGTCCTGCAATTCTACCTTGGAACGTATCTTCACTCCTTCCCTCATCTCCTTTCCCATGGTCTCTACCTTAATTTGGGCTACTTATAATTACTCACCTGGATTACTGTAATAATCCCCTAATTCATCTTATTTCCTCAATTCTGCCCTTTCTCCCTACTAAAATTCATCCTCCAAACTACTCTAAGAGTAGTCTTTCTAGGAAAAAAAAATCTGGTCATGTCACTTTCAGATTGAATTTCTTTAATGGTTCCACATTGCTTTAAGCATAGAATTCAAATTTCTTAGCTCTAACATGCAATATAATTCTTTCCCTTCAGTCTGATGGTCACATGCTTATTTCTGGGTGAGCATTATTAGGCCCAGGCAATCCAATATGCTGATTGGCTAAAATAATTAGGATCTACTCCTTAGGGTCATCTTCCCTGGAATCATGGGCTGGATGGGGGAAAGATGGGGCCCAGGACAAAATCAGGGTTTCACTAAGAATGTGGAGGAGGAAAGAGACAGTGGGTGTCAGGCAGGTAACCAGTAATGTCTTCAGTCTGTTCCTTCACGGAATTCGCAGCCTAGTGGTGAAGACAGAAAAATAAAGGCAAAGTTACAGTGCAGTGTGATAAGGACAATTGTAGAGTTTTGCGCAGGGTGCACAGTAAGCATGAAGGCTCCTTTGTAAATTAGACCAGGGCTTCAAAGAAAGTTTCCTAAAGGAGGTGATACACAACCCAATTTGTGAAAAATGAGCAAGAGTTAACACATTGAAGAAGAGGAAAGAGGCATTGTGGCAGCAGGAACAGCAAGTGAAAAGGCCCAAGAGTCATGCAAGAGTCACTGGGGAGCCACACATCATTTGGGTTGACCAGAGAGGAACTATATATGTCATATAAGTTTTATTCTATAAAGTTTCCGATAATACTTCTGTTGTATTCTATAAAGCTACTGTGTATGTACTGCTAACTAAAGGCCAAACACGGTATGCAATTCCACTTAATACAGCACTCTGGGGTTAGAATGTAAACCCCAACCGAAAGATGAAGAAACTCAGACTAAAAGGCTAAAGAACTTATACAGGGTCATATAGACCTGGCTCTAACCACTTTTATACACAACTTTTCAACCTCATGAAACTTGTTACCTCAAGCAATGACATAGGCTGAAAACAAATAGAATTGTAGGAATATACATTTGGATATATTTGAGAACCAGATATCTAAGAGAGATTGAAGGAAAACCCTGTTTCTAAAGTACAACTTCTCTTTTTGACCAAGTCCTCTGATGGACTATTCTTTGGCATACATGTCAGGGATAGAACACAACGGTCAGTTTCTGACGCAGGGTTCTTCTGTCACCTGGCTGTCACCAGTCAGCGATCACATTTCTTAGCTCATGATCTGCCCCCGTCTCTGCTGGAATGTCTCTTTCCCCCTTCTTCAATTTGCTGCCTTTTGTTCATTCTTCACAGATTCAGTTTAAGCATCACTTCCTTTAGGAAACTTTCTCTGAACCCCTGGTCTGGTTAAGAAAGGAGGCTTTGTGTTCACAGTGTACCCTGTGTAGAACTCTACAACTGTCCTTATCACAATGCACTGTAACTTTGGCTTTGGTTGTTTCCCTACCCCCTCACTGCAGTCTGTAAAGTCTAAGATAAGGACATTGCGTTCTTCTTTTTCCTCTTTCCTAAGAAAACCTCAGTTTTGTTCAGGTCTCTGTCTCTCCTGCATGTGGTCCACATAGCTCAAGAAAGGCTACCTCTTTCCTCTCACGAATGGATCTGGTTGTTTAAGCCAGTGATTCTCAACCAGAGGTAAGTTTTCCCCTCCAAGGAACATTTGACAATGTGTGGACACATATTTGGTTGGCACAGCCAAGCCTTGCTACAGGCATCCACTTGGTAGAGGCCAGAGATGCTGCTAAACATCCTACAATGAACTGGGCGGCCCCCTATCCCCTCCCCACTGGGCCCCTTGTCCCCATCAAAGAGTCATCTGGCCCCAAACAACAAAATACTACTGAGGTTGAGGCACTCTGGTTTAAGTCAGTGTTTGTGTGACTTTGTTTCCTGATCGTTAATGGTCTAGGGATGAATATGAACCATACGGATACAAGGGACTGATATACCATGAATGGGAAAAAGATGGGATGATAAAGCTGGAAAGCTGGATTGTGGTTACATTGTGGCGAATTTTAAGTGGAAGACTAAGTATGGTCTTTGTACTGTAATGGAGCAGGGAGTAAGTACCATGATTGAAAAGTATTTCAGGAGAGTAGGTCTACCATGTCACCCGCAGGATAGATGGGAGTGGGACGGAGCATGACAGCCAGGAGCCCCTGAGACAGCTATTGTTACATTTCCTGAGTGAGGTGACATGGTGGGTGGTCCTATTTAGGTCCCTAGTGGTTAGTGTAGTCTCCTACACCCAGAGGGACTCAAGAATGTTTCTTGAATAGTTGGTTTGCAACTGTTTTCTGGAACACAATAAATAGATTATGATTCTGACCCAGTGTTCTTATTACTTAAAAAATCTGTGTCACCTAGATGTCTGTGATTACACGTGGAGAAAAAATAACGTTTAATAAATTCCAAATTTCCCTGTGTTTTGAAAGGACATCATCTTAGGTAAATTTTGCATAAACACTAAAGGCAGCTTGTGTGTATGTGTGTGTGTGTGTGTGTGTGTGTGTGTGTGTATGTGTGTAGAAATGTTTTCTTGTAGAAGTACCTTTTGAACATACTTTCCTGGGATAGATTTTTGGTACATGTAGCCGTGCCCTGTTGGGTTTCGAGTCTGACTCTGAGGTGAATGCCCAAGATCTCAATGTTGGGGTACCCTTTACCAGCTTCCTGGGGCTGCAGACCTGCAGAGGCAGCCCCCAGGCTTCTGCCCTATCCCACTGCCCCGTTTACTCGGCAGACCTGCCTTCCATCACTTTCCTGGCTGGTGAACACTGGCCCTGAAGGCATTAGGGAAGTTCACTGAGACTTGTTTTTTCCCTTTGTTCCTAGTAATGGTTCCAAGGTAAGTTTTTTTGGCAGGAAAACGACTGTGATGTTTTAGATTAATTCAGGGAAGCTCCTAGTGGACCCCTTAAACATGGCACCCACTGGCAGCCTAATCAGTACTTGCTGCTTTGGTAGTGTGCAAGGACATCTATAGTCCTGGCAATAAGCTTACAGAGAATTTATTCTTTATAATTGAGTGTAAAACATTGCTTTTTAAGGTGTGCTTTTCTTACTCAAAAAAACTTAAGACTAAAAAACAAGACATTCTATAAATATATGTTTAATAACTTAGTTTTGTAAGTCCACCCCCCCTTTCCTTTTGATTGTTATAATGGAAAACATTGCTTTCAGTGATTAGAAGTAAAATGTTGATGGCAAATTTAAAAGACATTACGATCCTTTATATCTTTTTTCTCTTGGCAAAGCAATTTAATTAGGAAATAATCTTGTCCTCTAACATCTGACAATTACCATAAAATTATATCCCACTTGGTTGGCAACGAAACCAGTTTGTTCGAATTTGTAGCAAAATTTTGAGCTTTTACATTACTGTGAAAAGACAGTCAGATTTTAAATTAGAAAGATGAGGTTTAAAAAAAAATCAGAAATGCAAAGAACCGCTTTTAAAACGCAATCTCCAATTTTCAGAAGTATGATTTCAGTGGGGCTGAGAGTGGGGAACCTACCAAATCCTTCCGGGAAGGAGAAGGGAGCACCTGGGGAGGGTGCTGATCACATCAGAGCTCAGCTCTTGCTGCCTGTGCACGCGTGTGACTGTGTACACGCACGCGTGTGTGTGTATGTGTGTGCCTGCGTGTGTGCGCGCGCGCAGCCACAGGGCCGCTGGGGTGCTCGGGCCGCGGGCTTCCTCGCGGCCGGGAGCGGGGCGCGCGTCCCCGGCTGGGCAGGCCCGGGTCGTGCGCAAACGCATGCAACGCCGGCTCTTTGTGTGTCTGAGTGGCTCCGCGCCGCCGCGGGCACCATTTTCTGCTCGGCTCAGGACAGGCACATAAAAGGGAAGGCGGCTGCCGCCCGTCGCCGTCCTCTTTCCCTCAGATGCCCTCTGCTGCAGGTTTATTATTACAGTACGGGCCGCGCCGCCTCTCCCCGCGGCCTTGGCCAGCCGCCGGGCTATGCAGCGCCCTGGCCGCCTTCACGCTTGGCTCGCCCCCAAACCGCCTCCTCCGCCTCCTTATTTGTCTGAAAAGCAACCGCACGTCGAGGCGAAGAAGCCCGCCGGGGCAACAGAGGCCGGGCCGGCGTGAGTGCGCGCCGCGCTGCGGGGGGCGGGGCCGGGGCGGCGCGCCTGTCTGCGGGCCCCTTTGTCCCCCAGGCCCGGGCCAGCGCAGTGGGGGCAGCGGGGTGCCCGGGGTGCCGAGGGCCGGGGCGCGCGCTCGTTGGCCGCTCGCCAACCGGGCCCCGAGTCGCCGATTCCTGCCGAGTAAGCAGTCTGGCTCCGCCGCGGCAGCACAGTGGCAGCAAGGCTGGGGCGCTGGCGCCGCACCAGCCCATCAGAATTAGCTCATTGTTCACTAGCACACTAGCAGCAGAGAGAGGGAGAGAGAGCGAGAGAGAGAGAAAGAAACTGACTCTTAGAGAAAGAGACACACTCTTGGAGAGAGAGAGAGCGCGAGGCAGGGAGACCTTCCCCTCCTTTTTCCAAGGCTGCACTTCTTGGAAGTGAAGCTGGTTTGGGTTTTGTTTCCCTTCCCCCTCCTCCCTCCTCTTCCTCCACCCCTTTTCCCTCCCCCTGCCCCCTCTCCCCATCCCCCAGCTGTCTTTCTAGCATGATACCCTTTTTCATCCACATTTGTGTTTCAGGTGTAGAGAGGAGAGAGTGAACAGGGAGCGGGGCTTTTGTCTGTAAGTATATGCCATTCCCATCCCCGGCCGGGAGCGCTGCTTTCTCTTTTGTGTCGATTTCTTGCCGTTGCTCTTAGCTGGACCCTTCAACCCTGCAGAGTTCATGCTTCTTCCCTCTTAATTTTAAAGAGCTGAAGCGTGTACTTGGAGAAATTCTGGCATTTCGGGTCCTACTGCATTAAGGCTGGAATTTAACTTGGGCTTTTTTAAAAAAAATGCACAAGTTAAGAGGGAGAATTCTTTTGCGAAGGGGTGGGGTTTTTTGCTTGTTGGTGTGGTTAATTTTTGTTCTTCTTGCTCATAAAGCATTGTTAGGAACTGTTTTGTTTCTTTTCATGAGATGCACTTTGGTGCATGCAAGCCTCCCCCCCCCCCGCGCCTTTTATAAAATGAATTTGTGTCCCTCCATCCTTAGACTTTATTACTCTTTCAAAGCTGCTGTCGCCTCCTGGGGTCTTTCCAGGCATTCGATCTTGCAACACTTTTTTTTCCTGCATTTTCTTATAAAGCAGTTGAACTTCAGGGGAGGGAGGGCTTAAAAATAACTGACTGCTTTTTGCTTGATGATGATAATAATCTCATTTGCATTTATATGTATCTGTAATACCATTATAGGAAAACTCGAAGAGCTTAAGATACCCTGTTAGAGAACTTTTAGTTTCTCCATTCATCTTAATTTTTGTCTTAACTTATGTTAACAAAAGAACTGTGTTCTGATGACACAAAGGTTGAGAGGAAAATCACTGCAGCATGTACATTAATGTTTATTTGGTTTAGGGAGAAGGGCATAATGGTGTATATTCCTGACTTTTCCCCCTCAGTGTAGTTTTTTTTTTTTTTTTTTTTTTAAGCACGGAAGGTTATGTAATGCAGTGCCATTTCCAAAAATATCCACTCTGAGGCATTACACTACGCGGTGGAAGGCTGATTCCTATTCTGCTGTCTTGATTGCAAATATACTGCCAGTAGTATGTCTGGGAACAAAGAGCAGCCAGAAAACAATCTATTTTTATCACTTGGTTCTACTTTTAAGTTTGAACTCCTGCAATTTAAAGATGAACCCAACAATAAGAATAGCCCAGGACTCTGGGAAGCTAGGTACCAGGGATTCCTTTGTCCCCTATTTAAGCCTACAGACCGATTGAAAAGCTCTTTCAGAAGCCCCAGTGGTTACAATAATTTGCATGTAACTTAGCTTAACCACAGAAAATGGTTATTTGTCTGTAGCCTCTAAACAGGCTTTCTCATTTGCTGACCTGTGGTGTGGCAATTTGTCTACTGTATTTAAACATGTTTTGCAGGTTGGTTGGTCTCCTTGGACTGAAGAGAGGGAGGGTGCAAGGCCAAGACTGTTAAGGATTCTCAAAATGGTAAGCATTGGTCATCAGAGGAGATTCTCAGTTGCTTCTTATCAGTCTTTATTCCATATAAATATCAACCACCCACCTTCATCCTGCTTGAACCCTCCATTGTTCCTACCCCATCTGACCTTTCAAAGGTTCTGTCTCTAGCCTGGGGAGCTTTGCAGTACAGCAATTTATATGAACTGGATGTGGTGAATTAGGGATTAGGTCTTTTGATTTTCAATCATTTTGAATAGAAAACTGAAATTCCTCTTTCAGAAGTGGCGATTTATTTAACTCCAACAACAGAAACCATTCTGTTCTTTAAGAAGAGTGATATGTTGTGACATGCGTGGAAGAGGTGGCAGCAGTAGGGCTCAAACAAAGCAATGAGTCTTCTATTAGAGATAGCCAGAACTTATCCCCCAAAATAGGAGTCTGTGTCCAGCTAATCCAACAGCTATAGAATCTTCTGTCTTTAAAAGCAATATATACATAGAGCATGGACTTTTATATTAATACACTGTCTATTGTATCTCAAACATAATTAGTGTTTTGTTGTTGTTGTTGATTTATAACTTCATTTATGAGAGATATCTGCTCAGTTTTAGAAGATAAGCATGTTATCCTCTAAATGAAAGTGTAACTATTTCTGACAAGCGTTATGATCCACAGAGGAGGAAGTTAAGTGTTTGATGACTGATTAAAGAAATAGATGAAATACACGTTATAAACAGTTGAATAAGTGTATTAATTTTCTTTGAAAAATTTCCTCTATGGAAATAAAGTTGAACTGAAAAATAGAACAGAAATGTCATGAAACTTTTCACTGAAGTACAGCATGTCCTCCTGGAGATGTTTATGCTCTTTAAAACACCTCTTTGCCACTTAGAGTGTGTGAGTTCCAAATTTAGTTTTCATTTTTTCTTTTAAACGAGGGAGGAATTTAATGAATCAAAATTGAATCCGATGTACTTGATGTTTTCTTTGAGAACAATCCAAGTATAAGCTTCCAACGAGAAAAATGAATCAGAAGCAGTTAAGTGAATTCTGTTTGAATTCTGTTAATAAGTAAGCTCTTATTTTTTGTATGTGCCTCACCTGTAATTTCAACAGGTGGGTGTCAAAGCACCTAATCAAATAGATCTTGTTTGGACATAGATTGATAATGACCAAATTAAGGAACTTAAGGTTGGAGGCAAAAGGGATGAACAGAAAATTAAACTAATCAGTAGGTTTTGTGCAAATGGTTCCTAACTCCATATTAAATTCCTAACTAGCCATTGTCATAGAGTTCTAGGATGGTAATAAAATAAACTGCTGCAAAGTATTTTTGTTTATTTAATTATCTTTTACTGTGACTGGCCACATCATCATGTCTTATAGCTCTTTATCCCAGAACCTTACCCTTTGTGTCACCATAGATAGACCATGAAGATTCGTGTGTGTTGTGATATGTCAGGTGACCAGTTTGGTTGAACATCAATTTGACCACTGACTCTGCCAAAACTAGCCCTATAGATCAGACTCAAAGAGTAAATATCATGTTTCCATAGTAGTGAGCGGAGTGAGCTTTGTGGAAGGCAAGCATGTGTGCCAAAGCCGAGAATGAAAGTTGGAACGATTTGCATGCCGAAGAGCAAATTCGAGTTATTACTACATGTTGTCAATTTCTCACAGTTGTCGTTTATGTATGGTGGCAGAATGAGAAATCACAATTTGTTGCTCTTGGAAGGATTTTGAGTCATGGAAAAATTCTCACAACTTTTTGGTGATCCTTTCATCAAGATGTCAGTCCCTTTTGGCACAAGCCCATTGCCTGAAATGAAACCACCGACAGTTATTGTCTGTGGGTGATTCCAAGTAACTTTCTAGCAATTCTCTTATTCCAGGAGGTCTGAGGTCTTCAAAGTCTTTTCACATTCTAATGTAAAAAAAAAAGTTTCGATTGTGTTGTTTTTAAAACTGATATTAGAGGGGTCTTATACCTCCTTTTCTCCTTTTTGGAAAAATGAAGTTATTTTCTTTCCTTGATTAAAACAGATTACTTTGCTGATCTCTGTAACTGGCTTTTTAAAGACTTAGCCTGTATACAGTAGAAACTAGTACTAGGGAAGCAATAGAGTTAACACCTGGCCACCTCTAGAAAATATACAAACATGCCTTTTCTGTTAAATGTGTATTTCCATTTACATAATTTAAAACATTAAAGAGGATCTAATTTCAGTGTATTTGAGCTGCTTAGTAAAGGGCCTATTCCAAATACAAATTTATAGTCAGCTCGTTCCAGAGTAAGAAATTAACTAGTAGACTCCAGAATTCAAAACAGAGTGATTCAATATTTAGACATTTGACATACCCTAAAGTGATGTTTCACAACGATAATTTGAAGGCACTAAAGAATACTAATGTGCCTTTTGCATTACCAAAAAAATACAACTGCTTTGTTAACACTACAAGGCTTTAATCACATTGTATTCTGTGTAGGGGACCCTTTGGGCACAACTCCAGGGGGCACCATTTACACAGACTACAGTTCATCTGGGGTTGTGCATTTTAGGAGGACTGTTAAAAGTTTTAATTTTGAGTGTGGTTTGCCTTATCTTAGTTTTCTAGAATTTTTTTTTAATAACTCATCCCTCAGCTTTTTCAGTTTTCTAGTAAACATACGTTTTTCTAGTCCCCACCCCACCCCCTTCTTTGCAATTAACAAGATATTGTGAGTCTGCAGAAATCTTCAGCATTTCTTTAATTTATATTTGGCTTTTTGTTAAATTTAATTTCTAAGATTATATTTTATATGGGTCCTTGGTTTTTACTTAGCTGTTTTATTTTAAAGGTACTTGCTTCAGGTACATCACTGAGAAGAAAATACTTCAGAATGAGCAGATGGGTCTTATTGAATAGTTTGAAAAACTAAATTATTTAATTCAATGTCAAGAGTAAGTCCTTATTTTCAACATGACTACCCTCTGTGCTGTAAACCTGCCTCCAAGTATGGATGTGCCATGGATTCACAGTGGCATAAGCATGGGCTCATTATGTTTTAACAGAGACCTAGGAATTGGAACAATTTTAGATTCTCTCTAAGACCGATGCTGAGCTTTTCAAAAAGATGAGTTGACTCCATTGTACCATTCATAGAGCTCTGCTTTCTGTACAGTCTGTGAAGTGGCATTCATGGGCTTACAAGGAGACTCTTTCAATAATCTCTCCATTAACATAAGGTTTCCTTGTTTGAAGAAAAATACAAAGATTGCGGAGGGATGAGGTCCTGTTGGTAGCTGTGCTGTTGGGTTTTGGAATGTAAATTTACAAGTTGCTTAGTGATTCTTGATTGTGGAGATGCTGAAAAGTACCTAGGAGGGTAATTTTAGATGGTACTATCTTCTCTTTCACCAGGCCTTCTAGCACACTGTGAGGGGAGAATTGGGAATTGTTTAGGGAATGAGGACAGTAGGGATGGTCTATCTGGGTTTAGCCCCAGTCCTGCTTCCTCTTGAACTAAATAGATATTTCAGGCAGGAGAAGACATTTAAGCAGAAATCTTGGAATAAACAGTTATTTAAAGCACCATTCTATTTTTTTGTTTGTTTGTTTCTTCTATTTTAACCTGATGCAATCCTTAAAAACTGGCATGTAAATCAGATCTTCATAAATACACTGAAGGAATTCACTTTATTTTAAACCCTAAGATGAATACTTTGAAATCAGAAAATACACTTCTAAAATATGAATACTTTAGTAAGCCAAATGAGTAACCTCCAGATTATGAGTCTTAATACATCCTGTTCACTTACATTGGACCGACTGGGAGCCTTGGAGTGAAGTACTGTGGCCTCCTTGCTCTTGCACATATTTTTTTAAATGCTGTTTCTGGCTGGAAAGTCTTTTAAGGTCTTATTCTCACAACCAAAGTGAAATGGAGGGTTGAGATAATTGTCTGAATAATTATGCTTAAAAAAAAAAAAAAGTTGATTTTTGTCTGATTCATCTTGGCTATTCAAAATGTTGCTGGAGTGAGGTAGGAGTGGGAGGGATTTGCCTGAATTATCTGAATAATTCCTTTCTTATACAGGAAAAAACTAGCAATAAGGAAATCTTACCAGCAAATCCAATTTGAGTATACCAGAAAATATATTGCATGTACATGGACTGTGTCATCTTAGTTGATCAAGATACATTTAAAAAATTCTAATTTTAAACCACTCCTTTGCTTTGTACTGGAAAACAGGTTAACCATAAATCTCAGCCCACAGCTGTAGAAATTATGGTTACTAAAAATATTACTTATTGGTTCTAAATTTATCTGAAATGGGTATTTCTGGACATGTTTTGCACCTGAGGACAGCTTCAAGAATCTCTCATCTCAGTGGTTTAAAAAACAGCAGTGATCCTGAAACTGATCTATTAGCACATGACAGTATTAGCAGCTCTAATGGTTTGGGACTTAAGCATTAGCATGGCTCTCAACTAAATTCTAAATATCAATTCAGTTATTAGTAGCAGTGACATGGTATTAACCTAGTGTAACACTAGATTATACTCTCTTGCATTATTTGTTAGTTGGATCACATACATTTCTTTCACTGACCAGCTAAATTATAGGCTCCCAGAGGGTTTATAAACTTCATATATAGTGCTTAATAAAATATTAAATATATGTTAGAAGCTCAGTAAATATTTGGTCTATACATGCTAATACCTATTAAGTTGGACTTTCAAAAAATTCATCGTTAATGACTTAATCTTGTTTAGTTTTCGTGGACTAGAAGTAATTTGTATCCTTCCATTCCTCTAAAGAGCTAGGAAGTTGAAGTGAGTGTAATTTTAGTTTCCACAGCAAATTATTTTCCTTCCCCCCCCTTTTCTTTTTTAATGTACCTCAATGGCATATTGATTGTTTTTAATAAATTTGTTTTATTTTATTTTTTTGGCCACGTTGGGTCTTCGTTGCTGCAGGTGGGCTTTCTCTAGTTGCAGTGAGCGGGGGCTACTCTTTGTTGCGGTGCGCAGGCTTCTCACTG